CCCTAAGCCTGCCTATAATCCCATATCAGTTCCATAAGGAAAAAGTAGGCATTGGGAAAATGGCTGAAGTTAAGGAGTGTTATTTCTATGTTAATATATAGGGGCTAATTACGGATGTCACTTCACGGTGATAACTTGTCACTTGTCGTCACGGTGAAGTGATAGCCTTTTAATTTTAACGGCAATCACGGCTCTTATTATGAGTATCACTTCCTTATCACCGTGTAGTGACACCAGTAATAAGGCCCAAAAATCAAATTAAATTAATTGATAATTTTGTCAAGTTAAAATTAGTTGCCATGAAGCTTCCACTGCCTATAATCGCATATCAGTCCCATATGGATTTTCGTCAATTTTAAGATAACAACGTTGGCATCTACTTTCATATTACGTGATAAAACTACGGACATTTAATGTGACAATTGAGTGAATAGGTCTGCTTGGTGTGATTGATGAATTGAAACTAAATTTTTTATTCGTTACTACATATTATCATGGCATGCTACAGCTTGTAGCTAATTCATCGGTTACTTCTCCATCATCCCCCCTTAACCGAGAATTCTACCAATCCCTATTGTTCGTCGTCCAGCTTCAAGTTTACGGACCGGCAGCGCCTTTGTTACACGGCGAATGAGAACAACACAAATTAGAGTTTAGTTCACTCATAATCGCCAAAAGTGCAGGAACTCAGCGATGAGTTAATTTGCCTCATGTTTTCACAGGTTTTCCAGGATTTTCCAGGGAAAAATTCCCGAATTTGAGAAAAGTAAAGATTGGAATCACTCAGTCTATTGGTACTACTCCGAGACTGAATAAAATTTTCGTCAATTTCCTCATTTTCCGGCAGATTTTTTAGGTTTTCCACAGGAAACCATGGGACAAATTTTACTCATCGCTGAGTTCCTGCACTTTTGGCGATTATGAGTGAACTAAACTCAAATTTGTGTTGTTCTCATTCGCCGTGTAGAAGATGACTGCCAACGTGCTCCAACTTGATAATCTTCTCTTCCAGTTTCTCACGAACGAAGTGATGTGCTTCCTGCGTGGTGAATATCCGACTTCTCTTTCAGCAAGGTGAATCGCACTTCGGTTGTCGCAAAAGATGGTTATCGTTCCGTCTTGCCCTGATAGTTCCTGTCGTAGTACTCTCCACCAGATGGCTTCTTGTGCTGCCGCTGATACCGCCACGTATTCAGCCTCCGTCGTTGATAAGGCCACGGTTGATTGCTTACGACAATTCCACGAAATCGGTCCACCTGACTGCATGAAGACGTACCCGGTGATAGAGCGTCGCGTCTCGATGTCGTCAGCAGCTACAGTGCCATTCGCAACGTTGATGCTTGCTGACACATCCTCTGCAGCCTTCAGATGGCCCTTGTTCCGGCACAGATGTGCTGTGTAGCTCCGGAATAAAAAATCCAGTCAACATCGTCCTTGGTCGACTTAAACGTCGAGAAAAATGCAGCATGGCCACTATGTTTCCCACGGATTTCCTTCCTTTCACTGGCTTTATTCTGACATTGCGACGTATAGTGTCCCAACTACTTGCACCGAAAGCACTTCACGCTCGATGGATCGGTAGGTTTCTTCTGCTCCGTTTTTGTGTGGAACGCTCCATCTTCGCTTGGCTTCTTGCTGATCTTCACATCTTGCAAAATTTTCGCCTTGACAACGTCCGCTGTAAGCTTCATACCCGACGACTCCAATCCCAGGATCATCGGTTCGTACTGCCTCGGTAGACCCTTCATCAGCAGACTCGCCAGCCAAGTATCGTCGACTTCGAAACCGACCTCCGATAGCTGGTGTCTTAACGTAAAAAGTTCGTTCACGTACTCCTGCGTCGTTTGGCATATGATGTCCTCATCGCGTTCAGCGCCAACCAGCCGGATCCCCGTAAGCCTTCTCAGTAGTCCAATTTTCCTGCTCGTACGTATTCCGCAGACTGTCCCAAGCCTCTTTCGCGGATTTTTCGTTTCGCACCAGCCCATAAATCTTAGGATCGATGCTCAAGCATATCGTGGCCAAAGCTTGCTCGGAAACATCTTCACTAACCTCCGGATCGCTCTCCTCCTGTTCCTTCACTGCGCACCACGTTCGTTCATTGATCAGGATCATCTTGGTCGCGAAGGACCAGGAGCTGTAGTTCTCCGCGCCGCGTAGAATCTCTCTCACCGGCAACGAAGCTGAACTTCCTGGTATTCGTCCGTTAGCCGGGGCTCATCCGTTTTCTCGTCCACACGAGCCTTCGCCCGAGCCTCCGCCATCCATTTTCTTCAAAAATTTGCTTCAAAAAAATTGGAACTGTTTTCTTCTTCACCAAACAGAGCCGTTTCTATAGCAACTGTCTGGGCCTGGACCTAATGGGACAATTGAGTGAATAGGTCTGCTTGGTGTGATTGATGAATTGAAACTAAAAGTATTCGTTACTACATATTATAATGGCATGCTACAGCTTGTAGCTAATTCATCGGTTACTTCTCCATCAACATGGATCATGAAAAATGTGAAAACAACATCAAGTCAGTTTGTCCCAACAAGGTAAAGTAATCGCATATCAGTCCTATCCTGAAATTCGATTGTCCAGAGGTCAAGTCCAGAACAACATGTGAAAAGGGCATACAAGCTTTTTGTAAACAAACCTTCTTATACCCTTTTCTCGCCACCCATATGACACCAACGCAAACCTTTAACACCACCGGGTAGGGGACACTTTCCCCTTCCTGATGATATTGCTGGTTTGCGTGGGCGACTCTCGGTTGGTGAGAAAAGGGCCTACAAAGGTTTGTTTACAAAAAGCTTGTATGCCCTTTTCACATGTTGTTCTGGAAGTTACAGTTCTGCTTTTTGGATCTCAATGCCTACTTTTTCCATATGGAACTAGTATGGAGTTAGGGTATGTGTTCTAGTAATAGTAGTGTCCGAGGTGGTGGTGAGGAGGATCCGGATAAGAGTATTTTTCATCGGTAGCTCTCCTAAAATAAACCATATTTGCATATTTCAAACTTAAAATATGCCCAAAAGTGACGGAAAATAATTAATTTTCCTTAAGATTTTCACTCCTTTGCACCTATAGTTGCGGTAGTGTTCCTATAATAGTGGAACACATGAGAAACCAACGCATTCCACCATTATAGGAACCAAAGTTAGCAACTACCACAACTACTGGAACAGTGTTCCTATTAATGGAGGACGATCTTTCTAAAATTTTATGCAATTTTATTACAATGTAACATTTTTCTATCAAAATAGAGGTTGAAAGCTATAGATTGACGTATAACAATTGTGTGTACATAGTATATTTATTTTTTAATTGATAAATTGGCTTAGTACCTCCACTACTGGCTCACCCACCCTATAGGCAGTGCATGTTTTGTTATATCAGCAAAAAATCCCCAAGTAACCAAGAAGCCCGCTAATCGCCCTATTTGCAATATAAGGCTGATGTACGACTGATATAAAGTTAGGAAACCCTATATTTACCTTATAGAGTAAAAAGGGCGATTAGCGGGTAGTTAGCGGGCTTGGTGGTTACTTGGGCTGGCGATTCAAGAAGCAGAACTGTAATTTAACCTTTGGACGATTGAATTTCAGGATGAGACACATACATATGCAATTACCTTGCTTGATGGTACAAACTGACTTTTCAAATTTATCATGATCAAAGTCCATAGTTTTATCACGTACCTAATATAAATGTAGATGCCGATTGGTAGTGGAAAGCGTTATTATCTTAAAATTGACGAAAATTCATATGAGACAGAGATGCGATACATATTTTGAATTACAGAAAACACCAGCACAAATTTCAGGAAATAAATAGCTGATTTGGTCGTGTTGCCAAAAACGGGAAGATAGCTTTTGTTTGTTATGGCGTATAGTTTCATAACTTATCACCGTACATTCTGCTGTACATTACAACAGTAATAATATTTTATTGACATTGGCAAGCATTGCAAACTTTATACCTAGTTTAAAATTTTTGTGGCTTGAAGATATTTTCAAAAAAATCTACCTGGTTTCTCAAACTTTCGGTGACTTATAATTTTGCAATACCGACCGAAAATTTGAGCGGTCAACATCATAGTTACAGTTCAGCTTAATCAAAACGGAATCCAATCTGCACAGAGTTGCTATGCAAAGATAGCGGAATATAAACCAATACTGTTCGAAAGTTTACTGATCAATTAAATGCTGTACGAACAGCGAGTCACGTGATTCTCTCTTACTGGTGAGGTGACAATAATTGACATTATTGTCACCTCGTGTGAGGTAACTCTCCATTTGATTTGCACGGCGAGTCACCTCACACGACGTGACCATCGGTGACAGAGAGTCACCAAGTGAATCGCAGAATAAGGGGGATGGCTTTGAGCGGAATTAATCTTATTCCTGATCTGATAACTACTGCCCGATCAAAGTGCACCCAATCGAACGATTCAACACGATTTCGCCTGCAGGTAATATGCGTGAGAAAAAGCCTAACAATAAAAACAATTACAGCTAACCTCGCTCGGTTTGCACCCCATGTTCATCCCCTCTTATACTCCTAATAATAGCCTTAAACACCGTTTTTTTCTTCTTCGTTGATTTTGATTTTGCTTCTATTCTCTATGAACCTCAAAAAGTCCTGAATGAAATTTAAGAATTGAAATTAGATTTTTTGTTTTCCTCTTCTAAAATATCTAACGCTCGTCCTCGTCTCTCGGTCTTTTCGCGGACGATCGGCAGATCATATTGGTACTTAGAGCGTCTTTACAAAAATGGAACTGAAATAAATTGTGTTGTGTTGTGAGACAAATTCTATTTGAGGAGAAATATGGGACATCTATTGAGCGTGTTTTTTTTTAGTAAGAAAATAAAATAATATGAACACTTCTCCACTGGACGAGGACGAGCTCGTTCCTTTTTACAAACTTACCAAACAATCAAAGAACTACTACGTCGCTATTTACATTTGTTCATTGATGTAGCCCCCAAAGCTGGCCAGACCTCCGGCAGCAGTCGTGGCAGCCACCCCGTGGTTCCCATTGGTAATTCCTCCCAGACCCCCGACAAAGCCTCCTCCTAGCCCACTACTGCTGCCAATGCCCCCGCCACCACCTCCGCCACTGCCTCCTCCATTGTTTCCCAATCCACTTCCTCCTCCACTACCACTGCCACTGTGATAGGATGCCGCCGCCGCCGCCGTCTGGTTATAATTGTTATAACCATAGTACAACAAATTTCATTCGAATGGCGTGTTGAACATGTGAATGTTCAGATCTTCAAACGACGTCGCCCCGCTCTGGTCCAGCATCTGCAGCATGTCGGACAGTTCGTGGCCCTGGCCGGGATGGTGCTGTCCCGGATGGTGACCCGGGTGGTGCACCTGGTGGGCCGCCGCCACCGCCGCATGGTGAGGGTGATGGGGATGGTGCTGCGGATGACCGGCGTGGTGCCCGTGGTGCTGCTGACTGTGCGGACCGTGGCCATGCTGCAGCACCGGGTGATGGTGTTGCATGTGTTGAGCATGTTCCGGCGGGATGTCCTGCTGGGAGATGTGCGGCGGTGCCGTACTGGCCGAACTATTACTACTACTTCCACCGCCACCGCCGCCTGCACCACTGGCACTACTACTGCTGGTTTGCATCGGTTCCGGTGCCGCCGGATGGTGCGCTTGCCAACCGCTCCAGATGCCTGCAAATGGGATGAGAATCATTGTTTAGTGGAGTTAGTTAAAACGCTTAATTCGAAAAAATATGATTAGTGTAATTTGCCAATTGTTGCACAGCTAAGCACGTGCTTTTTGTTATTTTACAAGGTTGACAACGTTTTTGAAGTAGAGATTCCTCAAGAAACCTTCCAATGCGATTAATGAAGCATTTCCAGAGCTAAAAAGGGGCTGTTCATTAACTACGAAGACGGTTTTTTGGAATTCTTGACCCCACTCCTCCTGCGTAGACAATTGTCCATACATTTTTTTTTTTAAATTTGTATGGGCCGTGGATAATAGCCAACGCCCCCCCCTCCTAAACTGTCTAAGGCCTTGTTGTCCTCTGCTGTCCGAAGAAGTCGTCTCCACTCTACTCGATCCATGGCCACACTTCGCCAGCCTCGTAGTCTGCGAAGGGTCCACAGATCGCCTTCTACTTGGTCGATCCACTTTGCCCGCTGCGCGCCTCTTCTTCTTGTTCCTGTTGGGTCGCTTTATAGAACAAGTTTTACTGGGTCGTCGTGCGGCATTCTTACAACGTGCCCAGCCCACCGTAGTTGCCCAACTTTTGCAATGTGGACGATGGATAGTTCTCCCAGCAGCTGGTGCAATTCGTGGTTCATTCGCCTCCTCCACGTTCCGTCATACATCTGCACTCCACCGTAGATGGTACGCAACACCTTCCGTTCGAAAACACCAAGGGCGCGTTGGTCCTCTCCACGAGCATAGTCCAGGTCTCGTGGCCGTAGAGGACCACCGGTCTAATCAGCGTCTTGCAGACAGTCAACTTCGTGCGGCGGCGAACTTTATTCGACCGGAGCGTCCTCCGGAGTCCAAAGTAGGCACGATTCCCTGCCATAATGCGTCTTTGAATTTCTCTGCTGGTATCATTTTCGGCGGTCACCAGTGAGCCCAAATACACGAACTCATCTACCACCTCGATTACGTCACCGTCAATCTGAACTCGGGGTGGGAGGCTAACATTGTCTTCCCTAGAACCTCTTCCTTTCATGTATTTTGTTTTTGATGCGTCGATGGCAAGTCCAATCCGCCTAGCTTCAGCCTTCAGTCTGATGTACGTTTCCGCCATCGTCTCAAAGTTCCGTGCCATGATGTCGATGATGAATCCCGCTTGGTATTGCCCCACGAACTCTCTTGCAAATGGTGACAGGCGGTGGCATAGAATTTGGGAGAGTATCTTGTAGGCGGCGCTTAGCAGTGTGATCGCGCGGTAGTTGCAGCAATCCAGCTTGTCGCCCTTTTTGTAGATTGGACTTACGACACCTTCCATCCACTCCTCCGGTAATATCTCCTCCTCCCAAATCTTGTCAATTACCCAGTGCAGCGCTCTATCCAGTGCTTCACCACCGTATTTTAATAGCTCACTTGGTAGTTGATCTACACCAGTTGCTTTGTTGTTCTTCAGCCGACCGATCTCCTCCTCAACTTTTTGAAGATCAGGGGCCGGTAGCCTGTCGTCTTCTGCGCGTGCTCCAAGGTCTGTTGCCGTGCCACCTTCGTTTTCTGCTGCTTCGCCGTTGAGGTGCTTGTCATAGTGCTGCTTCCACCTTTCAATCACCTCACACTGGTTCGTGAGAAGGTTACCGTGCAAGTCCTTGTACATATCGGCTTGCGGCACGTAGCCTTTGCGCGAACTATTTAGCTTCTCGTAGAACTTCCGTGTATCGTTTACGCGGTACAGATTTTCCATCGCCTCGCGATTTCGGTCTTCCTGCTGACGCTTCTTCCTTCGGAAAACCGAGTTTTGTCTGTTCCGCGCTTGTCTGAATCGCTTCACATTCAATCTCGTGCGGTATTGCAGCATTCTCGCCCGTGCTGCATTCTGCTCGTCTAACAGTTTGCATTCGCCGTCATTTCTTCGGTCCGGGGTTGCAGTACCTAGTGCCGCTGCAGCAGTACCAACAATCATTACGAAACTAACGATTTTAAATTGGCTCACTACTTGACTAGCCTATTGGTCCCAAGCAAACGATTAACGTATCCCATTCTAGTCGAAATTCTAGTACTACGCAATGTTTGTTTTGATTCGCTATGAAAGTTTGACAGATAAAATTAGGGGTTATTGGTTTTTCCTATGTTTCGAGGGGTGAATCGATTAGCTTGGGACCGAAGAGAGTACCAGAGCTGAGCCAAAAAGTTGAGTACGTTATTTCGGGACCTTCTAGTCTTAGAGTTACCTCTATGGCAGTGCTACCTATGGCGGAACGGATGTCCCTCTAGCCATCTTCAAGAGAAGCTGCGCCACTTCCAGCTGCAGACTTATTACACACATCGTATCTAATTATTGCAAACCCATAAAATATGGTGGAATGCATGTTTAAATGAATGTTTTCAGCAAGAAGAATCATTCAGTGATTCTTTTAGATAATTAAACATAACTATTTGCAGGGTGGCAAGTGAATTTCCATTTTGAAATTCCTGGTTTTTTCCTGGTTTTCCTGGTCAATGATTTAAAAATTTCCTGGTTTAAAAACCATGTAGGGGAATTTACGTATTCTCGTCAATCTAAGCAGCATCCGGACTTCTATTAGCAATTTCTCAGCGTCACACACATATATGACGGGTTTGTTTATTGACATTTATCTGCTGCTTGCTGTTCTATCAATTCCAATCGACAGAATTGATCAAAACGGGTTGAACACGTTTTTACAACGTTCCAAACTTCTCAGGTGAGTGTGACTATTGTCGGCAGACTCTTTTTCTTCAGCACCATTTCCATTTGAACTGCGTGTTAACCAGATGTTCTATTATTGGCAACCCGAAATTAGTCGTATTTTGTAGTGTGTATATTTCATTTAAAGAAAAATCTGGCATAACAGGATTGCTCAGTCGTAAAAATGTTATAAGATTGAAGCTGAAAGGGTAAGGAATCGGTTGAATACATTCAGTGAAGAGTTTTGATGGGAAAATACAGTGAAATTAATGTTTCAATTTCGGTTGCCGAAAACAGACAATGGGTGCCGAAGCCATAATTTACCCTATTTGAAAAACAATTTTTAATAAAAAAAAATAAAGTGAATCCTTGTACCATCATTCTTCGCGCAATGCGGAATTTCACAAACCAAAATAGGTATTAAGGTTCTTGTGAATACCCGTGAAATCTTTATCTGATTGTTTGCTGTAAAGAAGCTAGTAGGGAGCCGCGCTACTTCGTCCTATCATGGCGCCTATTTCCGTTCTATGAGCTAAAACTATAATAGCTGAGTGGTGCGAAGACGGACCTCAAAATCGAACCACTTTCGAGCTGTCAAATCGAACCACTTTTTTATCATTGTGGTTCGTTGAAATAGATAGAAGTATTGTTATCGTCCAAAATAAAAAATTCATATTTTTCAGTAATGTTTTTGATCTTTTTAAAAACGTGATTCGAAACGACTCAAACAATTAAAAATAACAGTATTATTGCGTATTTTGGACCAAAGTAGACTCCTGCGCTGAAAAAAACCCCTCCGATTTTTTTTCCCTCAGGAACGACTGTGACTTCGGAGAACGTTCTAAGAAGATTTGTGATGATAGTACAAAAGTTCCAGGAAATTTCAACAGATTTTTCCCGCGACAGAAGAGGTTTCAGTGGATATTTTAGTTGCGGCCAGCGAGGTTCTACGGGGGTTCTATAGAGTTTTCATGTTCGAGTTTCACACGATTTGGAGGGAAGTCAAATCGTTGCCATTGGAGGTCCCAGGGAATTTCGACAGCACTTCCATAGACATCGTCGGCCACATTAAATTTGCATCTGATTTGCAACAATTTATACAAATAAAAATTACTATGTTTGATTGCAAGTCAGGTAGAGGATGTGTCAGGGTTTTATTCTTTCTTGACTTCCCTGAAATGAAAAGTATATTTTGCAGACAGAAGCAAAACAGGGATGAGATTAAATGAGGATGCATTATACAGACTTTTCTGTGGATATTTATTTAAACATCTTAAAAATCAAACATTATACATTGTTCCACTATTGAATCTTTGTTTTTTTGTTCTTTTTACGTGAGCACACTTGATTCTATACATCACAAATCGTTTCAAAATTTTTCCTTGTAAATTATGACAATTTTCTCCTGTGTATGGGATATTCACTAGGAGGCTGAGCAAGTGCTTATTTAAACTGATGTTTTGATTTTCGTCGTGTCCATCTTTATAATTGCAAAAGTGAGCAAAACACTTCATTCTGAATTTTATTCCACTCCGTAAAAACTACAGCTATGAACAATGTCAACAAACAATCACAAAGTCACGAATCGGCTCTGCACAAAAAGCCGTTTGACACTTCTCTCTACCAACCGACGGTGATGAAACGTTTATTTCAACACTACCAACATGAAGAAAATTTCACTTCGCACCACTCAGTATAATAGCAAAGCGTTTTCACTCATTTTTTGCAAAAACATCTTTGCTTACAAGATTAATTACGATTGACACTGAACCATTTGCAATAACCCGTAAAATGAGCGATTTTAGGGATGTATGACGAAGAAAAGCTGAGATACGACGGACTAGCGCGGAGCCTTATCTAATATCTGAAATTTAGAGATCTATAAGCCCCTAAATCTTGAGATTTCTGTTTTTGAAACTGCGATTTTTTTTAACTTTATTATTGAGATTTTTAGCCAACGGGCTAGTTTATCTCAAGGTGAAATTGCGAAGTGTGATATGAATGAGGACTCTTTGAACAAACCTTTGCTTCTAACAATTTTACGGATTTCCAGTTTGTTTAAATTTTCCGCCAATTGTCAACGATTAAGGATCTTATTTAGCGGAATTTTGATTACAACATGATTTCATAAACAATGCTGGTTTAATAACTCTTATTATTAAAAAGACTAACTGCTGAAGTTCATAGAAACTCCCTAAAGTTCGTAGAGCTTCCCTGAAGCGTTAAGGTCTTTCCTGAAGGGTTCATTGAAGTTTGTATTGCCTGAATTTCATGGGACTTCCCCGAAGTTTGAAGGACTTTTTTAATGAT